AAGGGAGTGAAGGGAGGACATGGGTACGGGAAAAAAATAAGAACCAAGACATATCATGCAAAGGTACAAGATCCCAATGATAAATGTAACTGTATTATTTGCTTTAAATATACCAATGAACAGGCTGGGATTTGGCTCAGTGGCTCCACTGCCTGCCTCACAAAGCAAGCACAAGGACCGAAGTTCGATCCCTGGTACAAAAAAAAAAAGTACTAATAAGCTTAATGGGAAAAAAAGTGAGAGTAAGGTCCTTTTGATAATAAATAGGAAAAACGTGCAGATAAATGTTTTTTCTCTATTTTATTAATATGTTTGCAATACATAATATAGTCATCGTATGGATTACATATACATATTGCAGCTTTAAAAAGTCATTTCAGCCAGGGATTTAGCTCAGTGGTTCAGGGGTCTACCTTGCAAGCACAAGGACCCGAGTTCAATCCCTGGTACCAAAAAAAAAAAAAAGTCATTTCAGCTGTGCCACTTTAGGCTCAGAAAATTAAGATTTTATTATATAACAGGATAGTCTGGCAGTAGCTCTAGCCTCACATGGAGCCATTATTACTATTAAATACCTGAAGCTCATATAGTATCATAAAAGACATTCAAGATGATTTATTCTACTAAACACAAGATTACTATAAAGCACTCATTAATCACTTGTTCCACATACAATGAAAACTGCTATCATCAATTTTCATTCATAATATCCTGAAGTGAATAACTTTGAATTGTATTTTGCTAAAAAATTCTTAGGTACAATTATACACTCAGAAGTATATACAGTGGCATAACCAATATACCAAAGGGTTATTGCTAATGGATTTTAGAATAATTTGGCCTTTGAGTTACTCAGTTCTTACATTTTTAAACATCTGCACACAGGAATGGCATACAGTAGGAAACTTGACCAGTCTTATTCATTTGCTCCATAGATAAGTGATGGGGAGCCTAGATCTGATCAGTTCCAAAGAATGTTCCACACTAACTTAAATTTCTAGGAAAAACACTACATCAGATAAAATGTATAAGAATAACATGAATAGGTAGGCTGGGTTACATTAATTTCATTCTCTTTAAAAGATAAATATAGCTTTCTTACTGTTCTGAACTCCCACATGTATATCCATTTGTTTTATGAGTGTCTCTAATAGTATATTTTACATTGCTTACATATAGCAAAACATTTCTTCAAGATTTTGTATCCACAAGATGTGCTGCCATTTAAGACGTTCCTTGTCAATATTTTATTCTATCCTACAATTTCAATTTTAAAAAGTCAGTTTAAAGAGAAGTATAAATGAGTTAAACACAAACTTGTAAAATTTATTTAAAATGTTTTTGTCATACACTATGGATAGAAATGTTCATTTGCCTTAGCTTTCTGACTGTCTATAAAATAAGGGATCTTCAATATTTATTGATCCCTAATAACATACAAAGTATAGCTGTAGGTATGGCAAGGGAATGCCAAAAATGAATAAGGTGAATCCTCAGAAAACATACGATAGTTATTAGGAGAAGTAAATACTGAATTCAAACTGTAAAGAGAGAATGCAAGTTCTGTATCACAGTTAAAAGAAATAGCTTTGATGAATTTAAAAGAGAGATAGATCCTACCAAGCAAGAGAAATGAAGGCTAAACTTTGGAAGTGAGACTTCGCTTAAGCAGAATTTCCAAAAACAAGGTCTTCTAAGGAGGGGATATAAACGAAGGAGAGAGGGGGAGAAAATAAAAGTAGGAAACAACTTTATTGTGCCAACTTCAAAAAATCCAGTATCCCTATAGAGCACAGGGCAGAGAGCAATGGGTCATCGCATCCTCTCAACTGTTCTTCCTGTTTCTCCTTACCGTGTGTTTTATTGTACTTTAAACAACTATTACTTAGTAGCACTTTTCTATGCACTTTCACCTGTAACGTTTTTAAGTAGCCTTCTCACACTTAAGTAGCGGAGGAGTCACCTGGGGCTTGACCTGGAGGTTTGACCTTGTAGGTCTGGGGTGGGCCTAGTGAGTTCCAAGGTGGGAACCTGACAGAAATGAAATGCAAATGCTTGGGCCCCACACCTGACCCGCCGAGTCAGAAACACTAGGGTAGAGCCAGCGCTGTTTTAAGAAAGCCAGCGAGCAGCGAAACTCGGCTTCGCTGGTGAACCATGGGCCTCCCAACACAAAGCTGGAGCTGTGGCCTGGAAGCCCATTTCAACAGCTCTCCCAGGTGCGGGCTACACTTTTACAGGCCTTACTCTCCCCCTAGGTAAACGGGTCCGGGTATTTCCGACCGCCCCGAGGTAGGCAGCCCGGTCTCGGGAGCCCCCTCGTCCGTCCCGCAGCCCCTCGTCCCCCGCCCGCAGTGGGGGAACCGCAGGGCGCCGCC